AAGTATTATATTAGAACACTTTCTGGCAGCTATTAAAGTAAATTATATAAAATTATAAGTTTAGTTTAGTGTTAATACAATAATAAACATTTCAATTTTTTTTTTTTTTTTTTAAGTCACATAATATAAACCCAAATTTTGTCTTTACTGATAAAGACTTCGCGGAAATAAATGCAGCATCTAAAGTGTGGAGCAATTCGGTAATTTAATTGTGTGCTTAGCACATGCTTCGGGCTGTGAAGCGTAAACTCGAAGAGAAAGCAAAATCATCAAGCAACTCCAGACTAATAATCGTGAATTATGACGCTAGTCAAGCAGCCAATGAATATGATTTTATTGATCCCACTTTTTACCCAACCGAAGAAGACCGTAACTCATGATCGTACGTAATTTGTCTGTCTACATTTCGTGAAAAGATTTTAGAGCTAATGCAGAAGCACTTCGATATGCACCCGTTAATACCCGTAGACGAACAGGGAAATACAATAGATCCAGAAGCCATTAGAAAAAGCGCTGTAGAAGAAATGTATAAATTTTGTGTTGAACATGAATTACGGTTAGTATTTTGTATAGGAATGAACATGACTTCTATATTAGTTTACTATTACCGACTATTGTGGCGATACAAGTGATTTAGATATGGTGGTGTTGGTATGAGTGTAATCGATTTATTGTAAACAATTCTTACCGACTGTTGTGGAATACAAGTGATTTAGATATAGTGATGTTAGTTTTGTATTAGTATTGAAATGAATATGATTTCTATATTGATTTACGGTAAAAAATTCGATTACGATACTTACAATCTATGGTGGTGATGCAAGTAATTTAGATATAGTTATGTTGGCTTTATATTTGGAATGAGCATGATTTCTATGGTGTTTTACTATAAAAAATTCAGCTACTGTACTTACGAGCTATGGTAGTGATAAAAATAATTTATATATGATTTGTTAATAGTTTTAGTTATTTTTTTTTTATTTTTTTATTTTTTTATTTTTTTTTTTTAATTTTTAATTTTTTTTCTTAGGCTGCTTTGGTCCTATCTTTGGACCAATTGGTACTTATCATGATGATGGCACCTTTGGGCACGGTCTACCAAATCGGTAATACCATATGGGAAAACTACAATGAAGATCGAAGCGCATTGGAGTGTCATTAAACGACATTATTTATAGCGTTTCAATCAACCTAGACTAGATCTTCTACTGTGGACGCTTCTTAAAGAAGTGGTGCCAGCACAAATGGACTGGTTTTCTCAAATTCTAGATGGCATTATAGAACCGTGTTGGTGGGAGGATTTTAAGAAAGAATGGATCTATGCAGGTGCGAATGATGAAGAAAGGGCAAAAATACGTAGTAATAAAAGAAAATATAATGTATAAATAAAAAAGAAAGTAAAAATAAAAAAAAAATTAAAAAATAAATGTCATAATATCGTAATGCTATAATGCATAATGCCGCAATGCGTAATGCCGCAAATCAAAATAAATAAAAGGATACACTAAACTTACATCCACGAATAATCATTCCCGCCTTCAATTTCAATAATGATAAGTTCAGCAATTTCTTTTGCTGTCATATTTTGAGTATCTATATTCATTTTTACTAAAAATTACGTCTTGTAGATCACGTTAACTTCATCATCGGTATTCACGTTTTCTATTAACTCATGGATCTCATTTGCAATAAAGTCACCAATTTCGGTATAATCGATTTCGACACACCCAACATTGCTTATCTGTTCTGTTTCTTGGCTAATAATTTCAACCTGATCGATTGATTCAACAAGATTGGTTGATTCAACGTGGTCGGTTGATTCAACGTGGTCGGTTGATTCAACGTGGTCGGTTAAATTTGTAATGATTGTTTGAATATTCTGACCTTTTCTTCTTCGATCACGACTCTTTTTACATTTAATGCAGGTTTTGTGACAACGACCTTTCCAAACAAACTGATTATCTAAACGATCAACTTTACAATTACTACAGCATTTCATTTTAGATGTAGGCTAATTTGAATCGTGTACACTTAGGGTTTGAATATTAAAAAGTCTGTGAATCTTGGAGAAATCTAACTTTGTTCTTGGAGTCTTGCTCGCGGTAAGAAAAACATCCAATATTTATACAAATAGCCGGGCATTTTTCACTATTGTATGTAGTAAAACATATATCTTTATTTATTTGATATTTATTAATTACAGATTTTATCTTAACTGTTGATACTACAAGGACTGATATTGCTGGAACTGATATTACTAGAACCGATATTACAAAAACTGGTAATCGTCCAATCATATTCGTATTAAAAATGGGTACTTAAAAAAAACAATTATATATTTTTGTATAGCGACGCATCAGGAAAAAATTGCTTTGTATTGTTTGGTCTATTAGTGTTGAAAATATTACATTTAGAAAATGGTGTATGCGATTTTGGGAATTTTTATTGTTCAAACAATGAAAAATCTCCGAAATCGCAAACACTTTAGCCTGGTAATATTAATCAATGTGTATGCAAATATTTAATAAAGATTACAAAGCACGATACAATGGAATAAAAAGAATAATGTAATAATTTCATTATGTGCGCAATTAAATATTTTATTGAAGAAAATAACAATACATTTAATAAAAAACAATACATTAACGACATTAAAATTATCACAATGTATTAAATGAAATATCAATACGATGATATTTAATTCTGTACTAATTCATTTTATTTGCATAATAAATAAATCGTTTATAAGTACAATTTGAAAAGCTTTCTCAAAAACTTATAAAAACCCGGATTGCAAAAAAAAACACAGCCAACCTTTCAAATTTTTTTAAGATCGAATGAAATTTATTCAATATGATCATACGATTCTAAGTTGAAATTCTTTAACGCAATTATTTTAATCTTCTATTTTCGCTTGTTTATTTTTAAATTATATTTGGATTGCATGTTCAACGCCATGCCTCTCTTGTGACTAAAATTACAATATTCTAGACCATCGGACTGTAAATAAATGTGTTCTATATGTTTTATTTGACCTTTTTTTTTTTTGTATTTTCCTTTTATTTTAAAAAAAGTACAAAGTTGTTAGTAAATATAGAACAGAAACTAATGCATTTGACCTTATACAATAAAGTAAAGTTCAATTGAGCGGAAAACTAATACAAACAAAAAGAAAAGCAGGTTCAACTAAGTGGAAAACCGATTAAACGATTCAAACGAAAAGAAAAGGAAGTTCTATTGAGGAGGAAGACCGAAAAGGATGATAAGAGTACTTCGTAAATGAGATAAGATCGATGTTGTGGCAGGGTGTCGATCATCACCATGAGGATCCGGCGGGGTGTAGATCATCGACGATCATGTAACCGGACTTCAGGGGGGCCGCTCTGTCGAACTCTATGTATATCTTTGTTTTCTTATATTGTATATTATCAGAACCATAACCAAAGAACTAACTTGTGCAATTTTTTACAAACTAAACCTTCTATAACACCATTGTCATATATGATGCCTGTACTTTATAATTAGAGCTTCTTTCAGAAATTTCTATTTCAGAACTGTACTTATACTTGGACTTTCTACAGAACTTTGTATTTAATTATAACTCTATAAGATTATAGTAGCAAATTTAAGATTTGCTACCAGCTTAACTCGAATCATCAACCTTGTTTGTAAAGATTTGGAAGTTTAACCAGTAAGCTACAGGGCCCAAACCTTTTTAAAATTTTTTTTTTTGGTGTTAAGGTGGGATCTTGCCTATGACTTTATTTATTATTAATACTTTTATTACATATATTACTATATTTTTGTATTTATATATATCAAGTCCAAGCTCAGACTTAAATCCTATTGGTTATCTATACTCTGGCCAAAACCATTACTTGTGCAATAGATGTTTTCATTCACTATTTGGCCACAAATCTATTATCTGCAATTCAAACCTACTGAAGAAAGCAGATATGCAGCTCCAAACAGTCAAGAATTAGAAGAAGAAAAAGAAAAACTTCATATTAGAAACAGTAAAGAGGTTTTTAGAAAAACTAAAAAGTAAAGAGAAGTATACAAGATCCTGAAAGGCACTTATTAGAAGAAATATAAGACTAAGAAATAGTACACTCTTATGAATAGCACTCACCTGATATTTTTTAAAATTTTTTTTTCTTGTGATCAAGGTTAACCTTTTCGACTTATCATTTTTATTAAATTATAAAATTATATGATGCCCTTTTTAAGAGGCTCCAGACAAGTATATTCTGACAAAGGTATATTCTAGCCATATTTGCGGTTTTTAAGCATCTAATTTAAATAATCTACCTATTACTAGGTTTTACATTAGATATCATACCTATAACCCACCTATTATTTGGATTACACAATTAAACTCTCTAATTTGAGTTTCCTATGCTAATTTATTCAACCTCATTCAGAACTTGCAATACATTAGTCAGTCCAAGTTCTAGGCTTGTTTGCGAACTACATATAGAACTACCGGCTTGGTTAACTGATTTATCCTTGAAGTCATCATCTACTAGAGTAGTCTGGTATTCACTATTATTGTATTATCTAATCTTTTTTGGATAAGTCTTGCCGGATAGGTTCTATACCTTTATAAGCAGACCACTCTGCCAATTCTTTTCACAGATAAATTTGCCAAATAGGTTCTAAACCTTTATGGGCAAACTACATCGCCGAACCTCCTGGTCCTTACAAAGTTCACCTAAACTCCAGTACTTTTCCTTCAAGACAATCCGGTATCTTTTCTTTTAGTACCCCCTAGCCGATCTCCCCAAATTACCAATCCAAATAGCCTGAAAGGGATACCGGTTCTGTGGTATCTGCTGATCCTTTTCTTCCAGTTGATGCTTAAGCCAATAGCCTGGTTGGTGGAACAACTTGTTGGGTTGTTCTTGCTGCATTTAGTTCTTCAGCCTCGGCTGAAGCCTATTCTAGTAGCCACTATCAAAAGTTTATGCTACATCTCTACTTGGATCTTGCCAAGCAGGTGTCTATCTTTCTGGTTCCTTAGATTTATACAAACACAAGGTCTTATCTTGGGTTTGCACTGACTAATACCAGCTTGCATGCCTTTATATAACTTATACATTGTACAAATACCCCATGTTCTCCCAATCTTGTTGGTGCAACCAAGGTTACAAAGATCCTGTTCCAACCGATTGTTAAAAGACAGTAGCCATCATACAAGCAGAATATTCAAAATTTTGTTATCAGTAGGTTTTAAATCCCCTACTTGCCAACTTGCCACTTGGAGTTAACAACTTAACTACTTTACTAAGTCGACACACCCTCTTTAAAATTTTTTTAAAAACCCACCTAGTTATTAAAAACATATAAAAAAATTTTTTACAAGTTTTCAAATTTTGATCTAGCAAAGTTATAAAAACCAAAAAAATTTTTTTATATAATCTTATTAGAAAGTTTTTGGCAAATTTAAACAAAGATTAATAACTAAATATATTCCAATTAAAAGAAAGAGTTTATACTATCCACTAATGTTTCTTATATCTGATTTAAAACTACTTTAAATCAAATCTTAAATAATCAAAAAAAACATCCTAGTAAAAGTCTAAAAAAAAGAAGTAAAACTATAAAATTACTATACTGTTATAATATAAGCTGTTAAACATTTTCACAAATATTTTAAAACTAATCATTTTACCTTAATTACTAACCATTTTGCCCTCAAATAGTTAAAACCACCCCAGCCTAAAAGATGATTAGGCAAATAGATAATAAAATTACAACCCTATAATTTTACTATTGTATATAAACCTGGATAAATCTATTCAAATGTTGATACACTATCTCGACTCAAGAATCAGACACACCCTACAACATTTACCTGTTTTTGAGAAACAACATACCGATACCGACAATTCTCACCTCCAGTGAGCGTAAAATTGTCTATTTTTATTAATTACTATGTACAAAATTTTATATTAACTAATTCAAAAAATTAAAATTATACATATTTTAAAAGTTTGATATAAATTAATTAATCTTTTAATATATTTTTATTTATAAACAAATCAAATTTAGAGTTTGGTTCTGATTAAGTTTAGAACTTATATAAAAAACCTGGTTCTTAGTTTTTAAATTGAAACCTAAAGGTTGTATAAACTAATCTAAATTTACCATCTCTACTCATCAGAGAATAAGAATTTTAAATGGTGTTCACGGGAATCGAATATTAATTTCCTTCGTGGGGGTTTTTCGTCACCGAGATGAGACTTTCTTATCAATTTGAACAATCCAGTTCCAAGTTGCATAGGCATTCCCATGATAATAGACTCGCTCACACCTTCAAGACAATCACGTTTACTATGCAAGGCAGCATCGAAAAGATGATCCGTCGTCTTTTCAAACGAAGCTAACATCAGAACGCTACTTTTCATGTTGGAAATACCAAACCGATGAATCCCCAATACTTCTCCCTAAAAATTTGGGTAAAGAAACAGACGTTATTTCCTGTGTATTATTAATAATTTATAAATATCACACAAGTACTTCCCTTATACGTCATAATATCTCCAAGCAACATTACATGACGTGGATCAATGCTCATCCCATGTCGACCCATGGTATATTGGATTTCTTGAATAATCGTGTTTCTATTGCATTGATACACAATACTTAATTTATAAACTAGCGGTAATATAAAATATTTACAACACTATCAAATTACATACCTAGCTGCTTCTATTCCCAAAACTTTATTTACTTCATTGACATTATTGCTAGTTGTTTCTGTACCAAATATGCCTGTGGAGTATATTTAAATAAATTAATTCACATATTTGGTGAGATTTATTCAAAATTTATCTTTACCTTCAGTCGTCATTACTTCTCGAAGACCGTAACCTTCAACGAGTAATTGTTTTTTCCCTGCCTTTGCTTCACTTATGACTGCTCTTGTCACTGTTTGAATACCCTGTAACAACATAATAAATGATGAGATCGTATCTAAAATGAGAGAATCAAGCCACAATTACAATTTACCTTGATTATAACTTTTGGCAATGACCGTTTCAAGACTTGCAAACGAAAATATAGTCTATCTAATTCCTGTCTCCTTGAACTATCTCGTTCTGGGACATATACATCAATTTCGTCATTATCCACTATCCGAATCCCTTGCTGATGATAAATATGGTTGTGAGATAAAAATCTTGACAATAATGAACAATATAATAAATCTGCATAATAATTACGATTTCCAACTTCAACTTTCGGTCATTAACAATGGCTCGTGCTATTTCCTTAATGCTTGTTTCCAACTAAACATTATTCCATAAATATATTGCCAAGAAGCGATTGATACAAATATATATATATATATATATATATTCTGGAATAAAATAAATGAGCTTAAAAGATTTATCGAACCTGAAGTTTTTGTATGGCGTCTAAATCTAACTTAATAGCAAGGTAACAGGAGTCTCGTTCATAAATCTCATCAATATATTTTGCAATCTAAGTATTTATAAAATAATAATAAGTATTTGATAGAAAACTATGGGGTTAACTATGAAACTTACATCCCCTAGATAGGTTGTTTCTAATCGTCCTTTAACAATTCTAGCAGATTTCACATCAGAATCATTGACTAGTTTGCAAGTAATAATTGGTGTACTAATTGTTTTCGAAGCATTTATGATTTCCTTTATACGCGGTACGCCGAGAGTGATATTCATGGATGCAACACCGGCAAAATGGAAAGTTTTTAGCGTCATTTGAGTGCCGGGCTCGCCTATAGATTGGGCGCCCAACGCACCAACAGCAGTTCCTACAAATGAATTATTACGAAGTTTAACGCAACAAAATTCATTAAGATTGAGGATAAGACAAATGAAGTATGATGAACCTGGTTCAATCTTCGCTTTAACAAATTTTTGTAAGCAAATACTCAAAAATTTTCGAAGCTGACGTTCAGTAATTTTAAGTTTATGATCCACGATTGCCTTTACAGAATCTTCAACAAAAAGGATTTAAAAGATTAATAAGCAATATTTAATAGCAGTATTAAGAACTGTTTAATATACCTGACCCTATGGCATTAGGATCTATATCACAATATTCATCGTTAGGTCTTTCATCAGCACTTATCAAGCCATAGTATTGACGTAACGAAACAAGTTTTTCAATTAATTCTTGACTAATAAATTTTTGCAAAGATTCTATGTATGATTGTGTGCAAGACTTGCGAAATTCATCGCTATCCAATATAAGATCTGTAACTTCTTTTATTTCGTATGGTAAAAGACCAGGGTCATTGCCCCATGGCACAATATTCTAGAATGTGGCATGTTAAAATACATGTTCAGTTTAAATATTACTACGGTACGATATTGATAAAATATTATTACATACAATTGTGTGCTGCAAATTACGTTTAAGATCGACTGGGAGAACTTCATCCTCTAAATATGCAGGGTCCAGTCCATCGTCACCATAACAAAATTGGACGAGTCCACCTGAAGAATTTCTCACTGACATGTCATAATGTATAGCAAGATCTTCTAAAGCCTAATGATTATATCATTAAAGATAGAAATAGAAACAACTACAGCCTTCAAAACATTTTAAAAAAAATATATAATTTTAAAAATATATATACTTTCATCAACTTCCTTTGCATATAACCAGTTTCTGCAGTTTTGACAGCAGTGTCTACAAGACCTTCTCTACCAGATATGGCGTGAAAAAGAAATTCAGTAGGTGTTAATCCGCTATAAAAACTATTTCTGACAAATCCACGAGCAGCCGGAGTCTTAGCTAAAATATATAATGAGTATATATATTATTTTTATTATTAAAAATAAAGAAAAGATTGAAACCTACAGTGCTTTGGAAAATGTGGTAAAGAACGATCTTGAAATCCATCTGGAATTCGGCTTCCACTAATAATCTGTTGACCAACACAAGCAACCATCTGAGACACATTAATTTTCGAACCTAAAAAATGCAAACAGTCAGCAAGAATATCATATATTTGAAATACAAACAAACCTACCTTTAGAGCCACATGTTGCCATTATTAAAGGAGCATTATGTTTATTTAATTCAGTCATGCAAATTTGACCAGCATCGTCACGGACTCTTGACAATATGCCAGATATATGTGCCTATTATTCGGGAGTACGACATATAATTAAATATTTTGACACAAGTAAACAACAAAAAGCGGTAAAAATTATCGACGACCCACTTCTAACGTTTGTTCCTCATTACAACCAGGTTGATTCTCGAGTTTTCCTGATTTAGAACGTTCAATAAGATCATCACATGCCTTGTTTGCATCTGTAATGAGTTTATCTTTTTTCTCCCGTAATATTTCTCCAGGTTGTACATCATTAATTCCAATAGAAAAACCTCTATTTGCTTTGAGCAAAAAGATGTGTTTATTTAAATATAGGCTGAAAATTCGTAAGACGGATAAATACATACCCAACCATCGGGAGCATAGTTTAGACAACCGGTTCATTGCATAAGCGGCTTGTACAGCACCATAATCACGAAGAATAGTATAGAATAACGAATGCTTATTTCCATCACCCACTAAAGATTTGTCTATAGCACCACACATTATTTCACTATTTTGAATAACAACATAACCTTCATTTGGACACATATCTGGTGCTCTGCTCTCACTTTTTTCGAATGATCGTCCTTTGCTTTCGAGGTTAACCAAAACTGATGAACTCTTATTTGGACGCATTAACACATTAAAAATTTGTTTACCAGTCCAAAGTCTTATTGGCTTATATATTGCTGGCGGGGGAACATCAATATGTAAATCAGCATCCGCCATATATGAACAAATTTGCGTAAACTGAGCACGATTATAAAATACATCTTTCTTTGTAATCAGATACGAAGAAGTTATAAAGTCTTGAATGGCGGCAATGATTGGATCTCCATTCCTAGGTGTAACCAAATTGTTCTTAACACCCATTAATTCTATTGCTTCAACACGTGCCTCTTCTGTTTGAGGGACATGAAGATTCATTTCATCACCATCAAAATCAGCGTTATAAGGTGTGCATACACATTCGTTGAAACGAAATGTCCGCCACGGCTTAACACGAACCTAAATTTATAACATGTGAAGTTAGTTAAAAAAAAAAAAAGTCAAATGATTTATAAAATAAAAATGCATTACATAATGCGCCATTATACTAAGTTTATGAAGAGAAGGTTGGCGATTAAATAAGACCACATCACCATCCCTCAAATGACGCTCTACTACATCACCAATCTGTAGTTCGGCAGCGCACGCGTCTTTTGCTGACTGATCTGCGTACTTGAGGTATCTAATGCATCATTAATTGTAAGATTCGATGAATAATATTTAGAATGGATACAATTAAGGACTCGTTACCTTTTTCCTCCAGACATGTTTTTAACAAAATTGGCACCAGGATGCACATCTGAACCATTCATTATGCATTTGCGTAATTTCTCTATATTATGTGCAAATACCCTTTCTGGATACGTTAAAGTCTTTGCAACTAATTCAGGCACGGCAACCTAAAATACCGAATAAGGAATTAATTTGCATAAATAATTGTATAGTTCTTGTATCGACACAAGATTTAAATGAAATATACCTCATCAATTCGTAAATTGGGATCAGGCGATATTACTGTTCTGCCTGAAAAGTCAACGCGTTTCCCAGATAAATTTCCACGAAATCTTCCTTGTTTTCCTTTTAATCGCTGACACAAACCCCTACTCGGTTTTGCACCCTAAATACGACATTGCATATGGTAAACTCAAATTAATGATAACATTTATTAAATCAAAACAATATAACGACATCAAAAATTACCGCCATATTTCCAAGTCCTGGCATTTCACTATTAATGTACATTGCAACCGTTAACTGCAAATAATCCCACTGCTCCTGTTTATAACGAAATCAAAACAAATAAAGATTTTAATATAAAAAACTTTAAACACATTTAAATAATCATTATTTATTACGTACCATCAGCTGTGAGATAGTGATTCCTTTACTCAAGGCTGCAGCAATATTAGTGTTCGTTTGGACAATTTCAGACAATTTCACAGTTAAATCATCTTCTGTACTATAAATATTAAATAATAAGGAATCTACTTAATTATTACAGTAGTGAGAGAATTTAAAATTCCAAGTAAACATTGGATGTTAAAGTAGTAATACAGTTACATAATAATGTCTAGAAAATAAACTATAATCATTGCGCATTAAAACAATATTAACCTTGCGTTATCCTGAGCAATTGAAGGGCGAATTGCAACAGGTGGTACTGGAATTCGTTGCCATATAAAAAGTTCTGGCCTCGCATTTTGTGGATCCAATCCGAGTAGTTCACAATCCTACGTATTATAGAATTACATATAATAACCAAAATTGAAGCCGCATTGCATTGAAATTAATTATCGCACCTCATCAGATATTTTTTTAAATAACTCGAGTACTTTCATCGCATTTAAATCTTCTTGTGCCTTATGTAAATGGGCTTTTAATTCCGGCATGGACTCTACAGCATTAACGAAAGTGGTTTTAAAATTTTCTTGTTCTTCATGCGCTTTCTTTGGTTTAAATTTCTCGTGAACAATCTTAATTGCGGCAACTTTTTTTACGGGTCCATTAATCGCATTGCAGTAAGGACAATCCACAGTTTTTTTACATAATGCATTTATAGCTTTTTCTATTTTCCCGCGTGCTGAAGGCTCTTTGGAACTTCTTATTCGTTTCAGATATGCTCGTCGATCGTCTTCTTCTAATAAGACGCGACTACATGACTAATTTATGATAATGATTAAATCGGTTTATTGTCTTTAAACAGAATGCACATAGTAATAATATTAGAATAATTTACTTTGCAGATATTTTGCAGCATATTTATAACAGCTTTAAAATAACCAATGTGAAATACTGGTAAAACTAGCTTGACATAACCAAAATGGCCAATACACTGTGCCATTCTTTCACCACATGTTTCACAGAGTATGTCATGATCCGAAGTTCCCTGTAAAGTTTACGCGTTTTAACAATTAGCAAGAATTATGTCAAATTACTAATGTTTTGTAGTAATAATTTGATAAATTTAACAAACCAAACGCGTATCTAAGACGCCATTTTCCATCGGAGCTCTATTTTCATTGAAAAGATCGCGGTGGGTAATCACCAATTGAGAATTTTTGACGATCTCTTGAGGAGAAAGTACACTAAATTGGATATGCTTACTACCAAATTAATGAAAATTCATTTTAGTAACGTAGTAAATAAAACTTTTGATACTTTATTGTGTAATTTAAGTCTTACATTTTTCGAGGGGCCGTTTCAAGAACCTGTTCTTTCATGTTAATATGCTTTGCAATAAATTAAATTGAATAAAATTGAGTGAAAAAAGAATACTTATACTGTATGCATAATATCTTAATAATTATAAATTCACGTGATACTTATAACACGAAAAAATTTTATTGATAGTCAATTTATTGTCGTACGTCATTCATTCATAGACTATAAAAATCTAATAAATAGACCTGGGCGGCCTTTTTTAATTTCACATGGGGAATGGACTAGGAAAACCACGGTGACTTTTCTAGTCCATTCCCATATATAAAATATCAGAGGTGGGATTCACTACGATGTTTTTAATTCATATGAGCTTCTTTTTGGAAATACTGTAAATATAATTTGATCTACTAGCTGTTTTAAATAAAACAACCGCCAAAATGTTTATCTTGATGAGAGGATTCTAATAAGTTCAAAATCAACCTAATTTGTCATATGGGCAGCGTTTTCACTTGGCTATTTGGCCGGTCAATGGCCATGGCCAAATGGCCAAAATGTGTAAAGAATTATTTGGCCAAAAATGGCCAAATATTTATACGTATAGTAAAACTAGCAAATGATTGGCTAAATTAAAAATATAATATTATAAGAGGATCCAGAGTAATCTATATAGGGGTAAGAATATAATTTGCTTATTTTTAGCAGATTTTTTCTATTTTAAGTAAGACATATGCTTATTTTTAACTATGGTCTTATTCAAAGTTAATTTGGCGATTTAGAGTTGTTACTTATTATGGCTAGACCATGATCATGAGTAGTGATTGTAGTCGATTTTGCATTAGTTGATTTTATCAGCTTAGCTGGCTTAGTTAGCCAATTTTTCAAAAAATCGACTTAGTTGATTTCATGTTAGACTATATTGCAAATTACAGTAACCAATCAAATTTAGCCGATTTGGTAGTTTATATTATCCTCCCTAAAGAAATTCAATGAACATAAAATACAAGAAAACAATTCAATAATTTCTAAAAGTTTAAGATAAAGATGATCGACTTCGACTTAGCTGGCAAAGCAGAGTTTTTAATTAAGTCGATAATAATGATCAACTACATATGTATGTACCAGATTCAACAAGTAATTGATCAATCATATCTATTTTTAAATCATGTGTTTTAATTAACCAATTAGAATGATCGACTACAACTTACCAGCTAAGCCGATTTTTAAATATCAACTTAGTCTAGTCGATAAATTTGGATTGACTACAAACACTAGTCACAGGTATATATAGATCTCTAAAAATAGAATAAATATATGATTTGCCTTTTTATCACATATCATATAATTTCTATATAATGCGAATGATCAGAATGGGAAGTTAACTATTAAATTATTGATCATTAAAAGAAATATTGTAAATATTGAGCCAATAATTTTGTTAAGTTCTTTGTATTTTGGCAAAAACTTTGAAATAAAGTATATTTGTATGATTTTTTTATGAAAAATCCTTCTTAGCAACCTATAATCTGTTAACTATACCTTTTAATGTTTGTAAACTCAACTAATTTATAATTCTTAATTTAATTGTTTATTTCAGAGAAAGAACTATTCCATTACACACCAGAATTGAAGAACTTCATAAAAAAGTTCGAATCAATTTTGATCATGTAGCTGTTAAATGAAAGCGTTCGATCACTAAATTGTATAATGCTTTGAAATATGAGGATAGATTCTATCGATTTATCTGGTGTTTTAGTACTACTTCTGGTTGATCTAAATAGCAGCGAATCTCCAAGTTTGAAGGTTTGAAAGGATGGTTTTAAAACTCTTAGTAATTATTTAAAACTATAAAAATCTGATCTTTTATAATGTTTATATTTGTAATAGACAGGTATTGAAGTTAAATTTATTTCATCTCTCAAGTTTATGATGATTATAAAGATCCGTCAAAATAGAAAGTTGCCAAATAGTGAAAGCATTCTTTTCATTGTCTTTGAATTTTTGTTGTTAGTGCTACTACAATTTTTATCTCAGAACATCGTTATCAGAATGGAATAAGTGATGAAAAGGATAAACAGAAAGCAATAATAAAGATATTAGCATAGCCAATGATGAAAATAAGGTATTTAAATGGTATCTAAAATTTGCCAAAAGTGACCATTCTCATGAATAATGGCAAATGATGTATTGGATTGTTTTAAATTTGTCAAGATAGTGTTTAATAGTTGGAGAGATTACTATCTTATTCTAAACTTTAGATCACATACATCAAATACCCAATATTGCAAAAACTGTAATTGAGAGATTATTACCAATTGTTTTAAAAAAAAGCAACGAAAAATCTTTAAAAATCACTTTTAAATATGAAATATAAAATTTTTATAAAAAAAGTTACAGAATCCGTTGTGGAAGGATTGGCTAGTGCTAAAACTGACGAGAAAAAAGCATGGACTACTGTAATTAGGCGACTTGCGTGGAAAGAGACAGGACACCCTTCAGTATTACTTTGTAATATAATTTTCAAGTTTTTTAGATTAACTTAAAATTGATCCATTAGAGAAATAGGATTTTGCGGGTTGATAATTAGATAAATTAAAACAATGAATAATGCAAATAATGCAAGTTGACAAAACAATGAATTAGACAGATTGGTGATCAACTTTAACTTGTAGATATTAAAGGAGAAAGAAATATATATATAGAATGCAAAAGGGTTACTTGTTCAAATTCAACTAGCCATGTATTGATCTTGTTTTCATTTTCTTTCCGAAAAATTATTGCTAGTCTAGTTGCATCAGCTTCAATTACTTCTGTATGAACGAATATTTCTATTTTGGCAAAAGAATTCTAAACTGGGTAGAATAAATTAACTTCACGTTGCATTAATATATATTTATTAATTTTATGTTTTTGGCACTTGATTGTCTCAGGAAGTCTAATAATCTTCCCAAACGAAAAAATAGTTTAGAAGAATTGAATTGAACTTTGAATATATTTAAAAAATAGTAGATGACATCAAAAATTTTGAACGAGCAAAAACCTGGATTAAACAAAACAAAAACACTCTTTACTATTAATATTAGGTTTAAATTTAAAGCTTTATATATATATTAAATAACATTTGAACTTAGATATAAATACATTTTATATATTTGAATTGAATGTTATTTAACTTAGAATTTGCAACAATAATTAAATAAATTTAAAAAAACTTAAATTATTTTATGAAATTTTGTTACCTTGCGCTCAAATTGAAATTTATATAACTGATTTTGGTGGTGATATGTACTAGGCAGTATGTGAAATTCAATGTTCTCACTGTTCTCCGAGAACATTAATCAAATTTTGAAAACGTAATTGATTAAAATATATTTTCTATCTGAAAACATTAATTAGAATTTTTTGATATTATTAAAGTTTAATTTTTTTATATTGGGAATATTAAAAATTTTTGAAAACATTAAAGGACTTACAAAATGTTCTCAGTGAGAACATAAAGTCAAAATTAAATTTCACACACTGGTACTAGATGCATCATTATATCTGAGCATACAAAGCTTGTATATACATATGTATAAATATAAAAATTATTTACTGCAATATAAATATACATATGTACAAAGAATTGCCATTATTTTAAAGCGATCCAATTTAAATATATGCATCTTCAAATCTGATCTACACAAACTAGGACCCCAGATAATTATATTTGATCTGATATATATAAAATGAGGTAAATTTTAAAAGAAATTTTTAGAAGGTGGTATATAAAAAATGGGGTTTTCAGAAAAATGTGGGGGGTAAAATGAGGTAAATAAAAAAATAGTGATAGGATTTTTTATAGGTAAATTTTTATAATTTTTAAAGTGATATAATATAATTGAGGTAAATTATTATACTTAGAGATGTGATCTGGATATCTATTAGATTAATTTTAGAAGAATTTACAAATAAGGGCTTGAAAAGTGAAAATAATTACAAATACAGGCCCAAATTAAAAATAATTACATATAAGGGCCTAATTTTTAAAAAATATT